CTCCAGACCTAAATCCAATACAACATCTTTGGAGGGAGCTGAAACTCCGTGTTGCTCAGCGACAGCCCCGAAACCTGACAGATCTAGAGGAGATCTGTGTGGAGGAGTCGGCCAAAATCCCTGTTGCAGTGCAAACCTGGTCAGGAACTACAGGAAACGTCTGACCTCTGTAATTGCAAACAAAGGCTTCTGTACCAAATATTAACACGGATCTTCTCAGGGGTTCAAATACTTCTGTTCAGCAGTGCGAGACAAATACATTCTTTACAAATCATACAATGGGATTTCCTGAATTTTTTTTTTAATTCTGTCTCTCAGAGTGGGAATGCACCTACAATGTGAATGTCAGACCCCTCCATGATTTCTAAGTGGGAGAACTTGCAAAATCGCAGGGTATTCAAATACTTCTGTTCCTCACTGTGTGTGTGTGTGTATATATATATATATATATATATATATATATATATGTATGTATGTATATATATATATATATATATATATATATATATATATATAAATATATTGAATATGGCCAAAATTGTAGTATTTCAAATATATGTCAATATATTTGGGAAAAATATTTTTAAAATAAATTTAATAATAAATTTCATTTTATGTTATATTTTTATATGTTAAAGAAAATCTGAAATTTGTAATATCTAAAAAATGCATTTCAAAATACAATATATATATATTGAATATGGCCAAAATTGTAGTATTTCAAATATATGTCAATATGTTTGGGAAGAATATTTTTTAAATAAATTTAAAATATATTTTTCTTTCATGTGGGCTGGCACTTCTCTGGCACATGGAACAGCTGTCTGCAGGCGGATGTTGCAGCAGAGCAGTCTGGCAGCAGGATGTGCAGCGGAGCAGGCTGGTAGCAGGCGGGCTGGCAGTACCCAGACGTCACGGCAGGACAGGCTGATGGTAGAGCAGGCTCGCAGCAGGCAGACGTCACAGCAGGACAGGCTGATTGTAGAGCAGGCTGGCAGCAGGCAGACATCACAGCAGGACAGGCTGATGGTAGAGCAGGCTGGCAGCAGGCAGACATCATGGCAGGACAGGCTGATGGTGGAGCAGGCTGGCAGCAGGCAGACGTTACGGCAGGACAGGCTGATGGTAGAGCAGGCTGGCAGCAGGCAGACATCACGGCAGGACAGGCTGATGGTGGAGCAGGCTGGCAGTACCCAGACATCACGGCAGGACAGGCTGATGGTAGAGCAGGCTGGCACCAGGCAGACGTCATGGCAGGACAGGCTGATGGTAGAGCAGGCTGGCAGCAGGCAGACGTCATGGCAGGACAGGCTGATGGTAGAGCAGGCTGGCAGCAGGCAGACGTCATGGCAGGACAGGCTGATGGTAGAGCAGGCTGGCAGCAGGCAGATGTCATGGCTGGACAGGCTGGTAGCAGAGCAGGCTGGCAGAGCTAGATGCAGGGTTAGACAAGCCGGGTCAGTAACAGATGGGCAGGTTAGGTATTAACGGCATGCAGAAGAATAGTCGGGTACAGGGGCGGACTGACCATTTGGAAACTCGGGCACTGCCCGAGGACCCAGGGTCAGTCGGGGGCCCCATGAGATGCCCCTAGTACCTTTTTCATAGGCTTTTTTGAGTTTGGGCAAGGACACAGGGGCCCCATGATCGACTATTGCCCGGGGGCCCCATGAGTTGTCAGTCCGCCCCTGGTCGGGTAACAGACCAAGGTTGGCAATGCTGGGGGCAGATCAAGCAGATACGGAAGGCAGAGGTGGAGTCAAGCTGAGGTCAATCACTGGGAACAGGCACAGGAATACAGGGGGAGCTGCAGGGTTTAAATAGTCCAATTGGCACCAACATTAGCAGCAGTGGTCGCGGGTGCGTGCACACACATGCGCAAAAGCAAATGCGCACAATTATGCATAGCAGAAGGGGCACCTGCACATCTGCACCTACGCAGCCATGTATGTCCCGAGGATTCAGCTGCACTATGGCTAGTACTTTCCTGACAGGAGCCCAGGAACCACTGAATGCAAGACGGAATGAGAAAAGGAGGAGAGCCCGGTATTCAAAATTTTTATTTGGAGTAGCAACAAGTACATCATGGCTACTCATCCTACTCAAAATAAAATTTCTTGAATTGACTTCCAAACTAGCACTTCTTTTGAATACCGGGCACTCCTTCTTTCCTCATTTCATCTTACATGCGGAAATTTCCTTATGGCCTTACCAAAAAGGCATCTGCCCAAGACCCAAGAGGACACATTCCTCCAGGAAGGAATCCTTCCAATCCACCCACATAGCCACCCAGCCAGGAGCAGCAACAGATTAAGTCAGCCCAGCACAGTCCCCAACACCTATGAGATACAGGAACCACTGTAGGCAACGGGGAAGGGGGGGCAGCCCTTCAGAGCATTAGATCCCGAGGAAGCGAGTTACTTATGAAACGCGTCAATCCCAGATACCTGATACCACACATTGATTATTTATTGAGGATTATGGTTTTATGAAGACTTGTCAAATTTTTTATCCTTAATCTGAAGACAATAAAAAATTGTGATTTTATTTGATTTGTGTGGCTTCTCATGGCACACAAAGAGTCCCATTTGCCTTTTCCTGCTCTCTTTGGGCCATAGGGACTTCTTTTGGTTCATAAGTATAATTAGGGATTGTGTCCACGAAGAAATAAATAAGTGTAGAAAGAGTTACTCTTCACAGCTTTACAAACACATTGTTTTACACCACGATTCCTTTCCCAGTAATGGACACTGACAACTGTTTCTTTGACCAATACTTCTCACTTGTTGAAGGGTCCTGTATGCTGCATCTGTCCGGCAGTACATTTCAAAGAGAACATCATTTGCAGAACTGAACATCAAATGAATTGGATGTGCTTATCTTTTGGCTGTGCCACAGGGGCGGACTGATAACTCATGGGGCCCCTGGGCAATAGGGGATCATGGGGCCCCTGTGTCCTTGCCCAAACTCAAAAAAGCCTATGAAAAAGGTACCAGGGGCATCTCATGGGGCCCCCTACTGACTTCCGGGCAATAGGGGATCATGGAGCCCCTGTGTCCTTGCCCAAACTCAAAAAATCCTATGAAAAAGGTACCAGGGGCATCTCATGGAGCCCCCTACTGACCCCCAGGCCAATAGGGGATCATGGGGCCCCTATGTCCTTGGCCAAACTCAAAAAAGCCTATGAAAAAGGTACCAGGGGCAGTGCTCAAGTTTCCAAATGGTCAGTCCGCCCCTGCTGTGCCATTGTGTTGTGGTGCTGCTCATTAATGGTGCTGTTCATACTTGGTAATTTAGGAAGTTCTTAGTACATAGTCCATGTCAGGGGCGGACTGACCATTTGGAAACTCGGGCACTGCCCGAGGGCCCGGGGTCAGTAGGGGGCCCCATGAGATGCCCCTGGTACCTTTCATAGGCTTTTTTGGGTGTGGTTTGAGTGTGGGGGAGGACACAGGGGCCCCATGGTCCCCTATTGCCTGGGGGCCCCATGAGCTGTCAGTCCGCCCCTGGTCCATGTTTGTGGTTGCCCTAAGTTAGTGCCCTAAGAGTGGGATATATGAAACAGATTACATCAGCCCCAAGCGCACTTCATACAGATCCCACAGTGGACCGCTCCACACCAAATCAGTTCCCCTCTTTTTTTGCCCTACACAATGGGAAGTGACACCCTTGCAGGGGAACCTCTGCCTCAAGAACACATTAACCCCTGTGAGTGCCAGCCAGTGTTTAAAGGTACATGACTAAAAAACACTTTTTAATTGAAATTTATGATATAGGGGACTTTGGTGTAAGGAGGGACTCTGATGGGGATCCTGATGTAAGGGGGAACTCTGATGGGTACTCTGATTTAAGGGGGGGGGCTCTGATGGGGAACATGAAGTAAGGGGGAACTCTGATAGAGACAATGATATAAGGGGGACTCTGATGTAAGGGGAGACTCTTAAGGGGACTTTGATATAAGGGGCACCTCTACTGGGTACCCTGATTTAAGGGGGGACTCTGATGGGGAACATGAAGTAAGGGGGAACTCTGATAGAGACACTGATATAAGGGGGACTCTGATGTAAGGGGAGACTCTTAAGGGGACTTTGATATAAGGGGCACCTCTATTGGGTACCCTGATTTAAGGGGGGGCTCTGATGGGGAACATGAAGTAAGGGGGAACTCTGAAAGAGACCCTGATATAAGGGGGACTTTGAGGGGGACTCTGATGTAAGGGGAGACTATTAAGGGGACTTTGATATAAGGGGCAACTCTAATGGGTACCCTGCTTTAAGGAGGGACTCTGATGGGGAAAATGAAGTAAGGGGGAACACTGATAGAGACCTGATATAAGGGGAACTCTGAAGGGCACTATATATACGGGGAACCCTGATAGGGACCCTTGTGTATAGGGATATTCTAATGGGGACCCTGATGTAAGAGGAGACTTTGATGGGGAACATGATATAAGGGGGAATTTGAGGGAGACTCTGATCTAAGAGGGACTCTGATAGGCACCCTAATGTAATGAGGGACTCTGTTGGGGACTCTATATAAGGGGGAATTCTGATGGGGGGCCTGATATATAGGAAGGCTCTAATAAGGACCCTGATGTAATAGGGGACTTTGATGAGCACCCTGATTTAAGGGGAGACTATAATGGGACCCCTGATATAAGGGGAGACTCTAATGGGAGCCCTGATATAAGGGGAGACTCTAATGGGACCCCTGATATAAGGGGAGACTCTAATGGGACCCCTGATATAAGGGGAGACTCTAATGGGGGTACTGATTTTATACTAAAGTTCTTTCTCTTTTGTTCTGAATCATATCATGCTGACTGCAAAGAAGAGTCGGGTAAAACGTATTCATTCACATTTTTTTCATTCATTTACTGTCTAAAACTGATATTTTTGGCCTATTAATATTTGGAAAAAATAGGATGTGGCCTTCATATTCATAAAAAGTTTGGTGTCCCGTGGGCTAGAAAATGCTAGACGTCCTCCAGCCACGAAATGAGGCGGAGCTCTATCTGACTTGCTGAAGCTTCTAATGCACATGGTGGGGAGCTCACAGTGTGCTGTGAAATCAGAGTAAGCAATGTCAGTCCAGGAGAGGAGCCGGTACACCTGTGCAAGACTGAAGGGGAGGAGCCAGTACACCTGTGCAAGACTGAAGGGGAGGAGCCGGTACACCTGTGCAAGACTGAAGGGGAGGAGCCGGTACACCTGTGCAAGACTGAAGGAGAGGAGCCGGTACACCTGTGCAAGACTGAAGGGGAGGAGCCGGTACACCTGTGCAAGACTGAAGGGGAGGAGCCGGTACACCTGTGCAAGACTGAATGAGAGGAGCCGGTACACCTGTGCAAGACTGAATGAGAGGAGCCGGTACACCTGTGCAAGACTGAAGGGGAGGAGCCGGTACACCTGTGCAAGACTGAAGGAGAGGAGCCGGTACACCTGTGCAAGACTGACGGGGAGGAGCCTGTACACCTGTGCAAGACTGAAGGGGAGGAGCCAGTACACCTGTGCAAGACTAAAGGGGAGGCTGGAGATCAGATTTAACATTCTGTTTTTCCAATAAAAGTTTGCAGATCTTTTTGTAGTTTTCTGTTGCCGTGTGACAGTTGGCGAGCTTTGTGCTGCGATTTGATAAGGAGTGAAGGCTTGACTCTTTATCCCGGAGACCTGCCGCTGGGAACCCCCGCATGTCCCTTTCACTCAAGAATGATTTTGGATTCCTGGTAATGGCAAGTCCTCCTTGTGTTTGCCCAAAGGGATTCAATTAGACAGCTCTTTAAATTAATACCTACACAAGTCACAAAAATTCCTACATATTACCAAAATTAGGTTAGCGAGCGGCATTTCAATTCAGCGGGATAAAAATAAAATGCGTTATTGGAAAAAAAAATGAGAATTGTGGCTAAGTACTTCAAATGTAACAAACTAACAAAAAAAAGAAAAGAAGGAAAAAAAAAGCTAAAAAAAGTCAGAAAGGAAATTAGCAAAGCAAATTAAATGTACATTGTAACGCACCCCAGACACCCACGACTGGGTATCTCTGTCAAGAAGCTGCTTCTCAGGCTCTGGAACACAAGACCAGTGACTCTGGCTATTGTTGCCCCAAGATCCAGATGACACCAGATTTGAAGTAAACCAGAAGGTAGACTAGTTTATTTGAACACAGATACCAGATATATACACTCAGGGGACAATCCCCCCTCCCTGCATAATGACACAGGGCGGGGCAATCTACATTTAGTAACAAGAGACACACCAACAGACAGTCCCATCAAGAGTGAGGGCTGCTGGAGACTGTCAGGAATCGCGGCTCCGGAATCCGGGATCGCGGCGCCTTCCCCCGCGCATGCGCACTGGCGGCAGATCACGCCGGGACACAGGCACTAGGTCCCGGCGAGCCGCAGCTGACAGGACGCCGCGCATGCGCAGTAGGAGCCGCGGGCGCGCCTCAGGCGTCCAATGACAGCCGGGGGTGCGTCCTAGCCGGCCAATGACAGTGCAGGGCGCACTATTTAAAGATGCCCTGCACTGTCACAGATTGCCGCAAGGTCTATCTGTGATTCTGAGTTCCTGCACTCGTCTAGTGACCCTGACTGACCCTGACTACGCTGCCTGCCCCTGTGATTGACCCGGATTGCCCTGACTTACGCTGCCTGCTCCTGTGATTGACCCGGATTGCCCTGACTACTCTGCCTTCTCCTGTGATTGACCCGGATTGCCCTGACCATTCTACGGACTGACTTACCCTGCTGACCCTGCGTGTGACCCGACTACTCTTTGCCCGCCGATTCTGTACCCCGCTTACCCCCACGGGACCACGATCCATTACCACCCTGCTGGGGCCGCCATCCGCTTCACATCTGGCTCTCCCGGTACCTGCATACGTCCCCGGAGGTCTCCTCAGCCACTGGTGGGCCTGCTCAGAGGTCGTGACCTGGCCCGGGACTGTTTCAAGTCCATGCCCACCATCAGGGGCCCTGGTGAAAGCACAGCCCGGGCTTAGACCCCACGCTCTGGGTAGGTCTGTCAGTTGGCAGCCTGAGGCACCACCTGGCGGATCATAACAGTACCTTGCGGCCATGACAGAGCCAGGAAGTGGACCGGCATCCCTAGAGGATATTTGCCAGCACTTGGCAACTTTGACCCAGGCTTTCCAGAATTTCCACAGTCGCTGCGCCCGACTGGAGGACCGCATGGAGTCGTTAGCCCCCCTGACTCCCCCCTGCTCAGAGTCCTCCATCTGCGGAACCACCCGCAACCCCGGCATCCGGAGCGGTTGCCACACCCCTAGCTCCTGAACCCCGCGTTCCCCTGTCGGAACGATTCCGTGGTGACCGGAGCCGCTTCCGAGCCTTCCGGAACGCTTGCACCCTGTATTTCGACTTGCAGCCCCGCACGTTCACCACCGAGACCGTCAAGGTGGGGTTTATAGTCTCTCTCCTTCAGGATGAGCCCCAGGATTGGGCTCACCGTCTGATGGAAAAGCACGACCCCCATCTTGACTCCGTGACCGAGTTCTTTCAGGCCATGGCTGTTTTGTATGACGACCCTCAGCGGGCTACCCTATACTCTCTACGGCAAGGCCGCCGGACAGCCGAAGAATACGCGTCCGACTTTAGGCGTTGCATGGGAGACACCAGATGGAACGATGCAGCCTTATGTCACCAGTTCCGCATCGGGCTGTCTGAGTCTCTCAAAGACGAACTAGCACGAGTAGGCCTACCTGACTCCCTGGAAAAACTGATTGAGTTGGCCATTCAAATTGACCGTAGACTAAGGGAACGTCGGCTGGAAAGGAGCAGCCAGGGTCAAAGGGTGGCATGGATTCCACCGAGAGACACAGCTCCAGCCCCAGGGAACCATCCGCGAAGTACGGAATCAGGGGACAACCCGGAACCCATGCAACTGGGACTGGCCCGTTCCCACTTATCGGTCAAGGAACGTCAGAGGAGACGATCACATAACCTATGTCTGTACTGCGGGGAAGCTGGTCACCAGGTGCGCTCCTGTCCTGCAAAGATGAGTAAGTCCACTTCCTTTTCTTTTACTTTACCTGCAGGAAGGGAAGATCAGTCAAGTTACCTGGCCATACCTGTGTCTTTACAGCTCCCGGAGGAACATTGTCGGTGACCGCAATCGTTGACTCAGGAGCCTGTAGTTGTTTTATCGATCTGACTTTTGCCCACCGGCAAAAAATCCCTCTCCAGACCAAAGAAAGGGGGTTCAACATCTTCTTGGCAGATGGGTCCAGTATAAAATCAGGGGTGGTGGACCAGGAGACACCACCCATTTTCACCACAATGGCAGACCATCACCAGGAGTTCCTCCGTTTGGATGCCATCGCATCTCCACTTTTTCCAGTCATTCTGGGGCTCCCTTGGCTGCGGGCCCATAACCCCCAGATTGACTGGGAAAAGGGAACAATTCAATTTCGGTCACCTTACTGTTTGAGTCACTGCCACGTCACAGGATCCGTGGTTCCCCGGTTCCTCCTGTACTTGGATGGTGACACCAATCTATCCCAGGTTATTCCTCCGGCCTACCATGACTTCTTAGATGTTTTCAGTAAGCGAGGAGCTGACATTCTTCCTCCGCACCGTTCATACGATTGCCCCATAGACCTCCTACCCGGATCTGAAATCTTGTTCGGCCGTATCTTTCCTTTGTCTGAAACGGAATCGGGAGTACTGAGGGAATATATTGACGAAAACCTTCGGAAGGGATTTATTCGTCCATCCACATCCCCAGCCGGGGCCGGGCTGTTCTTCGTAGAGAAGAAGGACAAATCGTTACGGCCCTGCATAGACTACCGTGATCTGAACAAAATAACGGTAAAGAATCGTTATCCCTTACCCCTAGTCCCCGAGCTCCTCCAGAGATTGAGATCAGCAATGATATTTACCAAATTAGACCTGCGAGGGGCCTATAACCTTGTTCGTATCAGGGAGGGGGATGAGTGGAAGACGGCTTTCCGTACGAGATTCGGTCACTATGAGTATTTGGTGATGCCGTTCGGGCTCTGTAATGCACCGGCAACCTTCCAGCACTTTATCAACAATGTTTTTTGTGATTTCCTCGATGTTTTCGTGGTGGTTTATTTGGATGACATCCTAATTTTTTCCCCCTCACTGGAGGTTCATCGAGGTCACGTGTTACAGGTATTAGAACGGTTGCGTCAACACGGGCTATACGCTAAGGCAGAAAAGTGCTGTTTCGAACAGCGCGAAATCACGTTCTTGGGACTGGTTCTCTCTTCCGCGGGGGTCGCGATGGATCCCCAGAAAATCACGGCGATCTTAGATTGGCCAATACCCGCCGACAAAAAGGGGGTACAGCGTTTCATCGGCTTTTCTAACTTTTATAGAAAGTTTGTTAGGAACTTCTCCGGTCTGGTCTCCCCGATCACGCAACTGACGAAACAAGGGGTCCACTTTAAGTGGACTCCCGAAGCTCAGACGGCATTCGAAAAGCTCAAGAAATTGTTCACCTCTGCTCCCATTCTCTGCCATCCGGATTCTTCTCTCCCATATGTTTTGGAAGTGGACGCCTCCGAAAACGCGGTAGGAGCAGTTCTGTCCCAAAGGAATGGTACCAAGGAACTACTGCACCCTGTGGCTTTCTTCTCCAGGAAGTTGACACCGGCGGAACGTAACTATGACATTGGAGATCGGGAGCTTCTGGCCATTAAATCTGCTCTAGAAGAATGGAGGTACTTACTGGAAGGAGCCACACACCCAATCCTAATATTTACAGATCACAAAAACCTTGAATATTTAAGAACGGCAAAACGACTGAGACCTCGCCAGGCGAGATGGGCTCTTTTCTTTTTTCGATTTATATTCCATATAACGTACCGACCCGGTACTAAGAATACAAAACCAGACGCTCTGTCCCGCATGTTTGAGGACCCCGACGACGCAGTGGTACCTGACACCATCTTACCTTCCGGAAGCTTCCTCGCTCTACAAACGGAGCTTCGCTCCAGACTTCTCGATGCTTCTGTAGGACTACCAGTTCTGTCTGGGTCACCCCTCCAGAACCACGGTGGGCTGTTGTGGAAGGAAGACCGGATCATGGTCCCAGAAGAAGTGCGAACCTTGGTTCTAGGGCACTGCCACGACCATCCAATGGCGGGTCACTTCGGGGTTACGAAGACTCTGGAACTACTACGGCGCTCGTTCTGGTGGCCGGATATGATCAAAGATTGCGAGCGTTACGTCCAGACCTGGCCCACCTGTCAAAGGAACAAGCCCTCCAGGAGCAGGGCATGGGGATTGTTACGTCCATTACCTATACCCAAGCGGGCCTGGCAAATGATAGCCATGGATTTTGTAGTCGAACTCCCACCATCCCAAGGCTACACAGCAATAATGGTGATCGTCGACCGCTTCTCAAAGATGGCACATTTCGTACCCCTGGAGAAGACCCCATCGGCACCAGAAACGGCACGGATCTTCATTAAGGAAGTAGTGAGGCTTCATGGGGTTCCCGAAGATATAGTGTCAGATCGGGGAGTCCAATTCACCTCCAGGTTCTGGAACGCCTTGTGTAAAGCGCTGGGAATCAAGCTGTCGCTTTC